TAAGATCTAAAAATTTTGCTTTGAAATAAAATCTAAAAACCAACATCATACTCAATATGGCACAACGGTAAAAACACACATTTACGAAGCTTTTTTCATGATTTTTCGTTCTGAGTTTAGAACTCGCTATTAATTCGACCAACAATATAAAACAGGAACATAGTCAAGGAAAAACAAACATCTATTATAAAACCCCCTGTTAGGAATGGATGATTTTCTCACATCGTTATAGTACCACAAAGTCAAAGTCTCAAAAATTAACCAATTGTATATTCATAGAAAATTGTGTGCTATGGTATGGTACTTTATGGCATGCGATTACAATTGGAACCAATTGAAAATACAGTTGGTTAATTTTTGTGACTATGATTTTGCTGTAAGACCGACATAAATAAAAAAATCGTGATTTTTAAGTTAATGATGCAGAATTGTTTGCTATATCAGTTTAGTATAAAAATCAGATGAATATCTCTTACGCATTCTGATAGAGAAGCGGTATAAGTTCCTGGTGAGAACTTAAAACGCAGTTTCTGCAAAATCAAATTTGTGTTTATGCCAATCTTGCAGCAAATGCTCGATATATAATAGAAAATAATTATGTCGATGTGGATATCACTGATATCTTACTCCAACATCAATTTATAATATTGGCACAATAGTTGTTTTGTCAAAAATACCAAATATCGATACTTTTGCAATTTTACAGCAGCAAACACTGATTATGCATACTAACTAACAATATGGTTAATATACTCTTATTAGCTATTAATATGGAATTAGAGCAATTTTTGGGCTGCGATGATACAATCTAACTAATCCTGTCTTCATACCGCAATCGATCTAATTTCTATTCCAAAGGTATTGTTCATATCGAATCCAATCACTGCGATTATACAATCGACATCAATAACAGATCACAAATACATATCTGTAAAAATAGATGATTCGCAAATGGTACCGTAATCGGAGAAAGCCATCATCGCATAACAAAACGACAAATGACGATGGCAGACAATTTGACAAATCCTAACGGCAATTGTTGGAGGTTGCATAAACAAAACGTCGGGGCAACACAATCTTCGTCGAATTAGTCCAAACTAGATAAACAAGCAAACAAATGACTCTTCGGCCGGCATAAATGCCAGAAACTGCCCAAAAAATTGTTCAGTTAATGGAGTTCTATTAAAATGCAAAAACCAAGCAAAACGATCCTCTGCTACGGCGTAGTCCTCACCTAAGTGCAGTCTAAACACGTTCACATAGCTCCGCAACTCGTGCCGTACTGCCTCGGAGAGTATTCGACTATTACGACCATTGGTAAAATGTGTCCATTGGAAGAAAAGCACACAGCATAAGCCGAGTCTGAGTTCGAGTAGCTATTACTTAATCGCTCAGTATTATTGCTGCTGCTGTTGCCACTGCCAACTACGTAATCAACGAGAGCAGAGCATTTTTATGTGGCATTTGAACGTGATGACAATGTCAAGTGCGTGGTAATTCAATTTAAAGGTTGTGCCCGGTGTTACCGTAGTTTCGGGCAGAGGTTAAATCAACATCCAACAGAAATCTGCGGACAACACATCTACTTGGTCTACATGGGGTTTGCCTCTACCATCTGGCCACAATTTTTCTTTGACTTATTTTATTGTCATATCTTCGTAGTTACTGATCATATTTTTGGTTAGGCCAACAAACAGCGCCGATAAATTTCCATTAGGCCAAACCAAAGTCTTTAAAATTCAGTTGCGTTGCTGCTGTTGATCATACCAAACAATCATGCGCGCCCTGTTTTCATCCGAACTGTAGGTGATGGCTGGCACTGGCTGTAGTGGCGCTGCTGATTACCCAATGTGCTTGGGCATTGGCATTTTTATCACCTTTTGACGTTGATTTTGTTGGGGGTAATCGAGGCCTAAGACCGCCATTTGGCCGATAAACATATTTCTTTAGATTTGCCGATTGCTAGTTCGCAAAAGAGTGTTGAACAATTGTGTTTTGTTTGGTGCTGTGAAATGAGAAAAATTTTCTTTTTTAATACCTCAAAATAAAACAGTCGATTAGTTTTCTGAGATAGATAGATAGAGATAGAGTTCAAAATTGTTGCCAACATATGTTGAATGTAATTACACATACAATAAAGTTATTGTATGTGTTATTTATTTTAAAATATTGTGCCTGAGTGCCTGAGTTAATCCCACAAGATTTACCTAAATTTTATACATTTTTTTAAATAAATTTATAGCCCATTTCTTTAGGTATAGATTAATTTTTTGATGTTAGCTTCTTATCTTATCGAAATTGTGATTATTCAGAATGATTCATATAAAAAATATTCATATAGTGGCTCCACAACCAAAAAATATGAAAATATCTGGACATATTTTTTAAGACATTTTAATACTATGCCATCATCAGGAATATTAATTGATCGATCGAAAATCTATTTATCGTTAGAGTTTTTGAATATGTTATTCGTACACATAGAAATGTTGTGAAATGTAAGTAAATATGGATACAGTTTTTTGTAACACTACATAAAAAAACTTCAAAATAGCAATAATCTGGTCAGCTTTATGGAATTTCAATAAAAGGTAGTTAATAGTTATAATAACGCTAGGAGTATTTCTCAATAAACCGTTTTCATTGAGATTTCATGTGAGGTTATGCAACAAAAATCCGAATAGTGTTCATGACAACTTTCAATATACACCTAAGTCTGTTTTTACACGGTAGATTGGTTCCAGAAAAAAAGGGATTTCCCCTTATTTAGTGCTATTCACATTTGATTTGACCAGTAAAAATTGTTTGTACGTGCTAAAGGGGAATTCACTTAAATCTTTAAGCTAGTGTTCGAAATATGAAATATCATTGCCTTCCATTTATAGTGGACTTTTCAAGAATCCTATACAACGACAGCGTTTTTCCTTACTTGGATCTGTGATTCACTTTGATTCGTTCACACACTATTATAGAAATTTCAGTAATATTTTTGTAAGGTCCATCCACTTCTCTTTATTCTAACAAATTTAGAGACAGGCATAACGTATTTAGTACAGCATTGTAAATAAATTTGAATAGATTCTTATCAATTTCGACGGGATTCAATTTACTATAATGCATTATTTTGAGTTTTAAGAGGCTAGGGAATTCATACGTTTAATATGTCAATATTTGACAATTCTTTTTTTTTAAACCACTGTGATTTTCTAAATTAAGGAATGCTTCATGAAAATAATCACATTCCTGATATACATTAAATAAAACCCACCACCTGTAAATGTCGTGCAAAAAATAAATGGGCCTAAGAGCATCATAAATTGTTTTTTTTCTTTCCTTGAAATCAATTATTTGATTACGGTGCTTCCAAGAAATATTTTATGTTATGATTTTAGCGTAAAAATGTCGATTTCATAAATTTTAGATTAATTTTTGACATATTAATTTGATAACATACATACGTACATACACATTTACATTTTCTTGATAAATGGGCGACGCCGAGTCTCTTTCGATTGAGATTTCAAATTTATTTAGAAAATTCTGCTTAGGCTACTAAAATAAATTGTTAATAAATTCAATGGTATTCTGAGCAAGTTCTTACCAAAATACGCCGCCATCTGGCATGTAATCAAAGCTTCTTACCAAAAATTAAATAGCAATGCTTCAAAATCAACATAAAAGCCAATCAGAAGTAGGCATTCCTGTTTACCATTTCTACTCGGACAAATTTTTCGAGTAAAAAGTTTACAAAGAGAACGCCATTTTGTTTTGTGTACTATTAAATTTGGTTCAATGTTTTACCAGTTTTGTGGTAAAACATTGGACGGGTTTCGAGTGAAAAGTGCAAAACTTGTAAAATTAGTACATTCTTTAAGATTCTGGAACGGAACTATAATTTGGTAAAAAGTGTATATATTTAGATATGTTACTTCCCCTTTTCCCGGGAAATAATGTCGGGAAATCCCGACAACGAGAATTCCCAACCCCAAACCCTATGTATTTTCAAAACAATGATATATGAGGGTCGTACCTAAATTCATGCGTATGCGTACGAATTTATTCACCTCAAAAGTTAAATACATGTATTTCCATGAATGTTTCCCAAATACGCATTGCGTATCAAAATATAAAGTTGAAAATTTTCAACATTGTTTTTTTTTTGAAAATAGAATTTCAGTCATTGAAAAATTAGTTTTTCTATACATGTAAACATTTTTCGACCAATTAAAATAATATTTTCATACATTTTCGCCGTTTTCAATTGGCACAGATGCAAATAAAGTCCTTGCGCATTTGGGTAATACGGACGTCTAAAAAACCCTATAAAGGTGAGAAGGTGATTATTTTTGTACGGAGCGCAATAAATTAGGTACGACCCTAACAACTCATATATCATTGTTTTCGTGAAGAACAAAAAAAAAAACACACATTTTAACAGAATGGCTCAAAATTATTAATGAGAACAATTTCCAATATTTAATAATGAATTTTTTTGGGATAACAGTGAATTGAAAAACAAATAAATACTGGCTTGGCAACCCTTTACGTTTTAGCAAGTCAATAAAATAGTCATCCTAAAAGTATGCAATAAATAACGTTGTATGGTACTGTACACAAATCATAATTGTTATACATGCAGTGACTCACACTCATACATTGAGTGAACTCAATGGGAAAAACCTTTTTTCTTTTGGAAAACAATCCTTCCCCAAATACAATGTTGTGCAGACCTAAATTGAGTGTTAGTGAGAATTCATCACCAAAAATGACTGAGGAAAAGAGAACAAATGAGATTACGTTTTAACCATTTACGCTCACGATTAATTTGGGAAGTTTTGCGCATCACTGTCCTAATATCCAAAATTGGAATGACGAAAAGTCCACCCTTTTCTACATTATTATAATATAAATGTGTGTACATAAAAAATATTGAAATTTATTTCATGTTTTTACAATGAAAATATACAAAGTTGTGCATGTCTTGTACCTAAAATTGTTATTCAATCACAATTTAATGTACTTGGCTTTTGTAAATAACGTCGAACTAAAGCTTCGACCGTCCATGAGATGGCTGCAACAAATGTCATTATGTTGAGACAGTGCAATGCTATGGCATAGTTGTAACGATCTCGAATAAGACCTGCAAATGAATTCAGTTTTATTATACAAAGTTAAATGTAAATATATTTATATGATCCTACCAACAAAGGGTCCAGCCGCCAGTGTAAATAGCCCCGAAATTAGGAGCTGTAGCCCCGATGCTGCTGGCAGTCTTTTTAATGGAACACAGCTGGGAATAATTAGTGGCCAGAAAATTGTGCGTACTCCCTTAAATATGCCAGTGACGGCGAATGTGCTGATGATCACAGGAAATGAGCGAGTACAGGCGATAACTGTGCGACCCAAAGCGATTCCCACTACTCCAATAAGGAAAAATACCCGATTATCCCATGGCACTTTTTCGGTCAGGAAGGGTAGAAGAAAACGCGTTGCCAAGTCCATACCTCCCAGTACTGAGATGGAGAGGGTTATTTGGGAAATCTCCAAACCGAAATCATTCAGAATGAATGGTGTCAGAATTGAAAAATTCAGTTCGCCAAAGTTAATGATGGTCAAACCAATAACCAAATTCACAAATGTAAAGTCGCGCAATAGACCCAAATCAAAGAAGGCCACTACTTTTTGCAGAAATGTCATATCTGAAGCGCTTATTTCCGAATCATCAGAATTCTTGTCTTGGTCATTGTCTTTGCGCTCACCCGCATCATCGTCGAAAGCGTTAATTTTATTCAGTTCCAGTAGAGCTCTTTCCTCGGCACACGTACACTTCAATGCAGCCCCACCATATTTTGAGTTCAAAATACCCTGGTTAAGGGCGCTATCTCTCTCCCTCTTGAAATTGTTGGGCTTTAGAACTGATTTTTGCTTGAGTTCTTCCTCTTGGCTAATCATGCGACTGAAACGATGGGACGATTCAATGTCTTTGGTGCTGGGAATTGTGCGTAAACGGTGTTTGCCAGATGCCAAGGACATGCGGGAGCCATACCATCCGTCATTGGCGCGTGACAACATCGGTGTACCGGGTTCAATGATTTCGAAGCCCGGCTTGTCTTCGTCATCATCCTGATAGAGATATTGCGAAGAAAATATGCCCTTCTGCTTTTTCAGCTGCATTTCGCAGTACTTGCAGAGATGCTGGGTATTGTCCTCCAGCACAGATATTGGCTGTGTGTCGGTGACATTACTTTTCGGGGCATGATATCGAACAGGTTGGTAGATGAGGGCACACATAAAGGTGTGCAACGAAAGGGCGGCAAATATGAATACCGTGCCCTGCACGCCGTACACAGATAGCAGAAACGTAACCAAGTGGGGTAGAACAATTGGACCCACTCCAGTTATTGTCCACGAAAATCCCGCTGCTTTTCTACGTTTATTTTTGAAATATGTGTTGATGGCCAGCGAGGAGGCGGATACACTGATACCCATGCCAAAACCTACAAAGAAAAACGGAATTGTGTTTTAGTCTCTCTTAAAATGTGTTTTGTTCTTACCTACCAAAAAGTAAGGCATAAGCGATCATGTATCCAATGAATGTTTCACAAAAAGCCGTCAAAATAATGCCGAAGAATATCAGCAGTGACCCAGCCATGGCCACTTGGCGAAAGGTGAAACGTCTGAACATGGGTCCATTTAAAAGACCTAAGATGGCGATAAAAGTTTATTGTTATACGAATTCCTTATGCGTAAGTAGTTTGAAAAATAACATAACATACCCGTGCATGCTGAAACCGCTGGATTTGTGTTGATTATTGTCGTAATTTCCGAACTGCTAAGACCCAGTCCCAACAAACGTTCTCTAAAAATGAAACCAAATTGTTGGACGCAGGGATAAATGGAAAGCTGCAAAAGAGGAATGGCGCATAAATTAACCTAAATTAAAAGTTCTGCCATGCCGTACACCTACATTCGATACTCCCGCTGCAATGCACACCAGCCATGCCCAACCGCCATCGGGCGCTATAAAATCCTCTCCCAAATCACTTTTATCGCGCCTCTTCGGTTTCTTGGTTTTGACCTTGAGCGGCACAGTGGTGGCTTGATAAACTGAAGCATAGGGATTTCTTTTCGATTTGTCCATGAACTCATAAATCAGCTACAAATTCAATGGATAAGGCCACGACGTGAAACTAAAAATTCAACCAGACATACGCATATATGTATATACATTCATTGTTATAAACTCATTGACAAAGACATGTAATCAAATTGGCTGAAAGATAAAAGCCTAATCTATTTAAAATTGTGTACTCTTTAAATTTGGTATTTGTTTATATGATTGGTTTTTCTAATATACGAGTTTTTTTGTGACACCTAATTATAAAGAACGGTATCGGCAGGTTATTTGTCAATACACTACACGTTTGGTTGGACGTGATTTTTATTGGAATTCGATGTTTCAATGAATATTCCGTTAAGTCGCTTATTATAGTTTGTTGCTTTGTTTCATATTGAGAAGCGAATTGGGTGCGAACAACATGTAGTCCTTTGCTCACCTGTTTCTCACAATATTTTATCGTCAACTTGAAGAGAGAAAAACATGGGAGGATTTGTGAAGAATTGCATTTGATTTGGAGAGTTTACTGTGCCAAAGAAAAATTTTAAAATAAATGCCTTGACACTCTATTGACACTCTATTGGACTATAAAAGTCCCGCCACATGTTAAGTGTTTTGATAAACGCAATTTGAAATCAAAGCAACTGTAAAATGACAATCCGAATTCTTGGAAGGTAAAATACTGTCTTTTTAATGGAAGTCCATGTTTTGACTTTTCCCATTTTACATAGAATTATCTTACACAATATATGTATACCATTTGAAATTATTCACTGACACTGCAATTACTTCTAAGGTGTTGGGTATTGCAAGTGGGGTATATCGACCCATATAACGATATCACCAAATTTTCGCTATTTTAAAAGTTTTATGTACATTTTCAAACTGTAATTTGGCATACAGAGTTTTTTGAGGCTGACATACATCTATGCGAAAAATGGTCATTATAGGTCCATGCTTTGACATAGACCCAATATAACGATTCCGAACAATTTTCAGTATTTTTTAGGTTGTTGCCACATTTTCCAAAACGAAAAGGGCTCCCATTTGGCATTTCGGAATTTTGTGTAGAAAATCATCATTATTGGTCCATGTATTGACATCCCCATATAAAGGTCCTGCAATATTTTCCGCAATTTGAAAGTTGTAGCCGAATTGTCGAACCGAAAAGTCTGTAATGTGGCGTTGCTGGTTGATAATAAGGAAAATACTTCTCTCCAGAAAATCATATATGGGATTATATATGTCGAAACATTTGCCTATATTGAACACATACATAGGTCCCGCTCAACATTTGCTATTTTTAAATTTCCTGACAATGACATAAAAAGTCGAAATTTTACCCCAGGAAGGGAATCGGGCCTGAGAATATACATGACTGTTTTGATGAAGATAGGTCAATATTTAGCGGTTCAAATGGGAAATGTGTGAGAAATGAAATTCTGGGCATATATATTTACTTCTGAAGGACATAGATAAGTGAAGTTGATATTATATCCTAGAGGAGTGGTTGACCTTTAAGTTGATACGATTATGTTGTTGTACGTACTCGAATGTGGGAGTTATACGTAAATATTTTAGGGGCACTACGTATTCTGATACTGTTTAGTATCACCAGTACCACACTAGAGCTGATGAGTAGGAAATTTATTTATGGTCAATGATGACGCCCATAATTTTCGGTGATATTGAGATGATATTTAGGGGAGCAATGAACCGAAAAATAAATATTTGTCAGATTTTCTTGTCGCTCTAGTGTTCTTTATTATATGCAGAACATTACATATTAACCAAAACCTAAAGTGACCAAATATTTATTTTATAACGTAAATATTCACCTCGGGAAAAAAAGAATTGCAAAAAATACCAGGATTAGAAAATGGAGCTGTTGACCTATAATCGGTGAAGAGGGTGCAAATATTGCGAAATATTACCTAGGCTGAGAATATAGAACCGCATAAAGTATAATTTTCGTGGTAGTTGTGTATAGGGTATCATATGGTCGGTCCCATTCGACTATACTGCTCCGCTCACCGGATTTCCCTTGTTGTTCCAGTGAGTGGAAATCGCATGTGCCACCAAAAAAGATAATTAAAACAGATAATTATTTTGCCAGACTATTAAAATCATTAAAGATTAAAAATGAGAAATATTCAGACATGTCACAGAAAATAATTCCGATCGAAAGGGGAATTAATTCCGTATATAGCTTCTTCAGAAAACGGAATTTGTTTCCCAGAATGAACCACTTTTGATTTTGTAGGTGGAATTGATTTTTTTTCAGAAAATTTCACTTAAAAACACTTGAAAGTCACTTATTAATAAATTCGCATTTAAATTAATATTTTAATTGTTTTTCAATCAAAATGTTGCCGCTTCTTTCTTCAAACTAAAATTAATAATTTTAAAGAATTTTATAATCTGGAATTAAGAATGATATACCAAAGCAATTAATTATATGAATCTTGTATAGTTTTTGTTTTGAATAGAGTAATTTTAGTAACATTCAGTTTTCGGAATTCATCAAATCGATCGGAATCTGGAGAAGATAAAACAAAAACGATCGGAACCATTCTGATCCGAATCTGTGACATGCCTGATTGTTTCCTTATTTAATAATTTCATTTACTTATCTATGTATGTTATATATTATATATTTTTGATCCAAATCACTGATCTGTGAGGTAGGTCGTACAATTCACAATATTTGCCAACATAAAATATATAAATTTCATTCAACACAATAGTGAACGTTAAACAACGTCTCCTATAATTTATTTATTTTTTTTTTTGGAAATGTGCTTAAAAATCGGCAAAAAGCTTTCTAATCAAGTGGATTTATTTGTTTCCAATCGTTTATCAACAGTGGCGCCTTGATTTACCACGCCACGCTCGAGTGTTGGTGTGTCATTCATACCGATTGTATGGCCTGTGGTAGAATTAAAATCCATCCACTTGGCGCATGGCCATGGTTCTCATCTTACATTGTTGCTCAAATAAAAACAGTTTAAATAAATAGTAACTAAAGGCTTGTTAACAAGTTCGGCGAGAGTGCCGGGGGGACATTGAACCATTTAAATGTGTTTATCGGCAATATTTTTTTTTGTTGGTAAACCTTAAAATGATGACTTTGCAATATTGACCAGTTACAAATGAGAACACAACATGATTGTGTCACTGAATGGGTTAATGATAATATTTTATTTTTATAAAAACACTATTGTTGGCATTTAGATCATGTTATTGGGGTTTTAACAATTACAACAACAACAAAAAAAGCAGGGCGTCTATCAATAAATACCCCGATAAAGGCTTACCACTTGTGAAAATTGGTATCAGTTGTGATTACTGATATTGACAAATGATAACTCATTACTACAACAATTGCTACCAATATAAGCACAATATTCGCATATAATTCAAACCTCATAAAAAATATAAAAAGAAAGGGGAAATCGAACAAGAACAAATTCCGTTTAAAAATTGATTGAAAAGTTAGTTTTAATTTTTTTCAGATTTATATATGTATATATATATGTCCAATTTCATGTAAATGATGCAGCAAGTGCTCTACCTTTGCCCTATTGACACAAAATATTGAATAGACTTCTGAATCAAATTTAGTCTTCCGAATGACACGAATATAATAATAAAAAAACATGGGACCTTTGAAATGTATTTATTTGTATATATATATATTTGCAGCCGCATATATATATATATATATATGTATATACAATTTTATAATAGTATGCGCCAGTTGTGAAAACACTTTTTCGATTAGCAAAGGAATATAGAGATGAAAGAAGTTCGATATTGAAAAGTTCCATTTTATACTTATCGAAGCTCTTAATCTTATTTGCAGTATGTCATAGTTGTTAGGATATGTATACTTTTACCACTTATTGTATAGCCTTATCTGTCTGTCGGGGCAATGTTCTTTAATACAATACTTAAATAGTTTTTTTAATTGTGAAATATTTAATATTTCGACTAATTATATTTTCAACAAAAATCAGCTGTTCTCACGCGAAATTTCATTTACGTGCTTCTATGCAGGTATTTGTTTATTTACATTTTACAAAAAAAAAAAAATATTTTATTTTATTATCACACACACATATTCAAACACTATAATGACAAGACAGCGGGAGGAGGAAAATGAAGGATATTACATTTGTCATTGTTTGCGTTCATTGTTAGAACGTCATATGTCCGCCTTCTATTTGCCATTCTATGCCAATCACATTCACTATTTTTTCACTTTTTTCTTTTCTTTTTGTCGGTCCACACTTGTTGAATAATTTGTTTTGGTTTGTTGTTCGCCACCACCACCATTACCACCCAATGTTGGCGGGATGCTCTTCGAATGACGTACAAGTTCAAGGTTTCGTTTTTTTTTTGCATATTAAATTAAAAAAAGGAAAATGTATTTCATTACCATATATATTATTAGAAGTCGATAATTGTTGCACTTTATCACAGAAAATATTCGCGTATCACATGCCTTGTCTTGAATAAAATGTTATTAAAAACCCCAAACGTTAGTATAAATCCCCACAACGATATAATTCTTATGTAAACCGAAGAAAATCTATGAATGAATTCAATTTTCTTTAATGTCTTCACATCGACAATATTGCACCACAGCGAACTGTATCAGAAAACGCCGACGACTTGCAGTTCGAACATGTTAATCGGGCCAAAACTATTTACCGACTAATTCTCAGCGTATTCATTATATAGTTAAGGCAGAGAATCGATTGTTTGTTGTTAATACTGTGGCGTATGTTCTGTGGGAATTGTAAATCAAATTTGCAAAACACCGATACCGAATGGCAGAAGAGAGCTGCTCTTTGTAAAGTGACTCTCTTACGAAAACAGAAAAGACGAAAAACACTTGTTGTTTTCGAAAGAGAAAGCTGTGTTTTCTGCGATAAATGTAACCTGCGCACACAATAACAATTTGCGGTCAAGTTTTGTAAATAATATGTAATAGAATTTCAATTCAGTAAAATATTGAAATTACTTTATTGAATAAACTTGAGAGATTCTAGTAGTTTGATTTTTCAAATAGAAGTAAATATAACTGTTAAATCATGGCTGGTTTAAAAATATGAAATATAGCCTACTTTTAGGATGCAATTATGGAAAAAATATAAAGGGTTGATTTTATGAAATATAAAGTGTCATAGTTCGTCTTCGGATGGCTCACAAGAAGGACACAATTAAAACAAATTTACAAAATGGTGATTTTTTAAGCCTTCGCTTAACTAACACGTGTTTATCAAATCAGACGAAATTCTTCGTATACGGATAACCTATCAAGTCACAAAATATCAACTTATTGATTTTTAGACTTTGTCTACGCATGATATATGGTCCTTCTGTACTAAATAGAAAGTGGACTAGTTGGAGGAGTAAAGACGCAAAAATGTGTCAAAAGACAAATATAAATATTAAATTTGGAACCGCCTCCAAATGTTGCAGACAGATATATATATACCCTCAGCCTATAGTTTGTCGATATTTTCGGAATTACACACAGGTTTTATTAACAGTTTTTTATAAGATATATGTTATTATCAAAGAGGTGTCCGATTAAATGTTGATCAAATCGCTTCAAATTAAATTTACGAGTTTATAAAATATTGACTCTTTGTGTGGGAGGTACCATAAGGTAGGGACAAATTGGGAGATACCAAAAAGGGCCTCATCTTCGGACTAGATCTAGGCTTGATAAAGATAATACGTTGTACAAAGTTTAAAGTTTAAAATCGGATAGTCCGTTTGCGTGATTAAAGATGAGATACCAGAAGGGCTGTGCCGATATTCCCCATCTTCGAACTTTAACTAAGTTTGATAGAAATTTTACGATTTCCAAAGTTTGGATGAATTCGGTTACTCCCTTCGAGAGTTATTGTGCGCACCAACCGGCCAGACAGACGGGCGGACGGACATTTGTAAATCGACTCCAAATTGTCTGAAACGAATTGGCCCAATTTGGACGAGACACATTTTTGCTGTATCAAAGTGTATATACCCTCATTAGCTATAAGGCTGAGGGTATAATTATAGCGATTTGAATTTATGAAAATAAATCTTTTGATAAAAATGAGTCAAGAGCAAATATAAATACCAGATTTGGATCTGCCTACAAATTAATAAATAAAATTATAAATCACAAATGTGGAAATTATTCCCTACATATATGATATTAGTAATGAGGTTTATGCTTATAAAATTATACATTTCTTATAGAGCTTTTTGAACTTTCGATCAAAACCAAAAACGATGTAGCGCCGCTATTAAATGGTTAAAATGCAGAACATGTTATGACATTTGATGAGCTTGTATTCCTCGGAAAATATCATAAAATATACATTTTTTTAAAAATTATTTAATTTTCAAAACATGTACTTTTTTACTCTCAGTATCGCTAAGTTCAATTAGATGGTGTGCCGAATTTATTAAGCCCAGGCAGTTTGCGATGGTTGTCATGTTACTGACAACCTAAATAAATTAAATAAAACGCGATTTTGACTTTTTGAGTTTGGTGCAACGTTTCACCCCCTCCCCCGTGCGACGATTCCAAAAATTCGACAAAAATATTTCAGATAACCAAAAAATAAAACAAACGACAATTGAAATTATTTCTTAATTTATTTCCGCTTATTCTTTGTGTTTTTATTATTGCATTTCTCTACACAATAGGTCTTTTCATTGAATTGCAATCGTTATTATTGTCCAGCAGTTTGTGAATGAACTTCTACAATTACAATATTTTTGTCCATTCTGCTTTTCCATTCGCTTATCATCTACTAAATTACTACTAAGTAAATTCTATTAAATTTCATATCCACTATAAACTACACACTAACTACAATTCTAACTAAGTAGTTTATGAGGAAGCTGTTTAAAGATTTAAACAAATAAATTATAGCTGTAAAACTTTACAATACATTTTGTTTTATCTACGAATAAGTAATACAGGCCTTAAAATGCCAAGCAGCAGCCCAGTCACTGATTACTCCCCTTGAGGACATATTTGTCATCACTAAACTAGGTTTAAACTAAATATTTTATTTACAATTTTCGGTAGGTTGACTAACAGCCTAAAGTTCGGTGGGTGGGTTGGTAGGTAGTTAAGTTGCAGGCGTGGGCGACTTTTTGCAAAAGGCTTTTCTGATCGTGGATTCGAGCAGCCAAAACAGCAGAGCCATACATGTCAGGCTGTTGATGCAGTGGATTGTCGCCGCATAGCCATAAGCATCGGTAATTAGACCTGAAATTCGTAATGCAGTGTTAGAAACTATTTTGGGATATTCAAAATATTATGGTGACTTACCTAAGAGTGGGCCCAAAGCAAAGGAAAATATGGAATTGAATATCAATTGTATACCCGAGGCAGCTGGCAAACGATTTAGCGGCACATAGCTGGGTATAATTAAGGGTGAAAATATCGTACGGAACCCTTTGCCAAATCCAATTAATAGGAACACCACCAAGACTACGTTGTACGAATCCGTTAGTGTGACAATAAGACGCCCTATAGATATCGAAATGATGCCGAAGGCAAATAGCACCCGATTGTCCAGTTTGACCTTTTCCAAAGCGAAGGGTGCCAAGAAACGTACAGCTATGTCCATGCCACCCAGCAATGACATGGCCAAGGAGATTTGTTTATCCGAATAACCGAAACTGTTCAGAATGAACGGCGTTAGAACTGAGAAATTCATTTCACCGAACATCATCATTGTCATGCCAGCTGTCAGATTGACAAACGTAAAGTCCTTTAGCAGATCCAAGTCGAAGAAAGTAACAATTCGTTGCCACACTGTCATACGGCTCTTGATTCGTTCCTCCTCTTCCAGCTGGGCTTCTCTTAAAGCCTCCTCCTGTTTCTTTGCGGCTTCAGATTTATTTTGCAATAACGTTTTCTCTTCGGCACATGTGCAATGGAATCCTTCGGTGCCAGGTTTGGAATAGATACTCAATTTACTTGCATAACGATCCAATTCTTCACGTTCTCGATTGAAATAGTTCGGCTTGTAGAGAGCATTCTCTTGATGATCTTCCTGTTCGTTGCCCTCTTCACAGCTGTCTATGTATTTGAGGCCCTTTGTAGATCTGTATCGGGCACCTTTCTTCTCTGCCAACGACAGCTTTGAGCCATACCAGCCATCATTGGCACGAGCCATCATTGGAGTACCAGGTTCAATGATCTCATATCCCGGTTTCTCTGGATCGTCATCATTGAAGAGATATTGTGAGGAGAAAATACTTCGCTTCTCCTTCTTTTGGTACTGACAATATTTGCATTCAAAATGATCTGCAGGGTCCTTCGAAGGAATCGCACCATTTTGTATGGTATTGCCATTGGCTTCTTGTAATTTATCCTGCTCCGGTTTGGGTGAATGCCACAGCACGGGTTGGAATGTGATGGCACACAGGAAGGCATTCAAGGAGATTGCCGAGTAAATTAATATCGAACCTTGGGCTCCGTAGTAACCCAGTAGCAGTGTAGAAATGTGTGGGAAAATGATCGGACCCAGACCTGTAATGGTCCATGAAAATCCTGTGGCCTTTCTCCGTTTGTTTTTGAAATATGTATTCACAGCCAGTGAACTGGCAGCCATGCAGAAGCCCAAACCAATGCCTAAATGAGAAGAAATGAGACAAATACACATCAATTATGAATACAGAGGGCAAATCGATGCCAAACTTACCATAAATGCAGGAGAAGCTTATCAAATACTGAACAAAAGTTCTGCTGAAAGCCGAAAGGAAGATACCCACAAATCCAAGAAGACTGCCGGCCAAGGCGACCTGTCTGAATGTGAATCTGCGGAACATGGCACCATTAACTAGACCAACAAGTGACGATATGGCCATAACGGCATTGACAATGGTGGTGGTCTGTTTGGCATCAAAGTCAAAGGACGCCATACGTTGCCTGTAGATCAGACCATATTGTTGCAGAGGCGGAAATAACGAGAACTGTTCAAAATGGGAGAGGCGATCATTTAATACATCACTTTATGGACCGCAAAGAATACTTACATTGCTGAAACCTGCTGCCAAACACACCACCCATCCCCAACCACCATCTGGGGCCACAAAATCCGGTCCCAAATCACTTTTGTCTCGTCTCTTTGGTTTCTTCGGTTTTGTTGTCTCCTTGTAGACAATCGTATTGTTGGGTTCTGTTAGCGATGACTTCTCCTCCGCCATCCTTAATGAGCTATTCAGCAATTTATTGTCCTGCAAAGATAAAGGAATGCCATTATTGTTATCGCCACCACAACGTAATGAAATATTATTTGATGTTAATGCGGCCATCCATGAATGCACTTCGTGTATTCGTTCTGTTCGGCCCAACCCTAGTATCCGTGTCAGAATGGGCCCTCATTGTTTGCTTAACAATTTACATGCCAAGGGGGCCATAATTCTTACTGGATTCCCTATCAGAAAGCCTATTCGTGAATTGAGTGTAGGAAACAATGACACGTCTATTGCTTATGTCGTTGTTGTTGTTGCCGCTACAGCAGTTGATGATCATTTTGGAATCTAGACACGCTTAAGAGCTTCATTTTTTGCTATTCGCTCATTTTGCACACACACAAACACTCGCAGATCATCGATCACCAATGATGACACAATGATGACTCGACAATAAATCCAACAGCAAATTCTATAGTTAGCACAAGCTATGTTCGTGTTTATGGTTGATAATATCCGCTAGCCTAAAGGTTCCCAATAAACATGCTACCAAAAATACTAGCTGCTACATAAGTATTGTGTAAATTTGTGAAATTCCCCTTATGGCATTTTTTTATTGGTGACTGACTGCAAATAACACGAAAATACATATTTCACAATAAATTCATTTCAGCGAAAAGATTAAGAAGTAAAGTCATTGTAAAGGAGATTACGAGAAGGGGATACAATAGATCACTTCCTCCGTACTCTGAATCATGAATTGATGTCTATATTGAAAAAATGCTTTAAAATTATTTATATATGGTTTTTACAGTCATATAGAAATTTTCCATTATAAGGATAATTCCGATAATTCTCTACAAAGAATAAAGAAACATTTCTGTTCTTTATTCTTTGTAAGGGCACTTCTTCCCTGCGTTGTTGCAAGAACACCAACAGTGAAGCGAGATTCCTTAACATGACTGGAAGGTGTGTCTTAATTACAGATCGAGTTAATAACATCAGATACCGATCGATACATGTTAGCTGCATGTATGTAATATTGTTAACATTTCTTGTTTTGGAATTAGGAATAGCGATACCAGATTGGCAATGACATTCTTTAGAAAAGTTGTTAGAATTCAAAATCGATCGTACGTATCGGAAATGCGGGCAGATAACGAATCGATAATTGTTTTCCAAGAATAACTGCTATAATATTCTCCTATCTACGGAGTCGTTCACCAGTATGAATTTCAACTATGGAAGTGGAATTACCGGGACTGTTAAGAAAAATTTCATATAATATCATCAATATCAATGAGGAGATAAAATTGAAATTTAAAAAAAGGATTTCCGAGGACTAAATAATCACGTCCCCCTGGGATATTGAAATATGGATATAAAGTGACCGGGTTTATTACACATTTTGCATTTGGGTTCAGAAATTCGTCTTGGGTATTGGGCATGATTATTTTGAAAAAAAAAAACAAAAGAAAAATGATACCCTAATCCCAATCCATAAATACGAATACACACTATCATTTTGGACTGTCAACTTTTTTATTGATTACTGACTGTCCAAAGACCTCAAATATGTTCGTGGTTGCCTCATAGAGGCGAACATATGAGGCCATACTACCAAGCAAGCAACATTTGGATAAGAGTGTCATTTAAAAGTGATAGCGTGTACCCCGCTTTGATTTCGATGACCCATCACTAGACCTCGGATTTTTGCATATTTTTTATGCTTTATCCGATTGGACTCAAATTTTGTATTTAGGCGTTTCATGCTTTAATTGATCGATATTTGGGGTCATGTCAAAAATATGCAAAAAATATGCAAAAAATATGCAAAATATATGCAAAAAATATGCAAAATATATGCAAAAAATATGCAAAATATGCAAAAAATATGCAAAATATGCAAAAAATATGCAAAATATGCAAAAAATATGCAAAATATGCAAAAAATATGCAAAATATGCAAAAAATATGCAAAATATTCAAAAATATGCAAAAAATATGCACGGTATGCTAGGTCGATATGCCTTAAATATATGCAAAAAATATACAAAATATGCATTGCCGATATGCAAAAATATGAAAAATATGCAAAACTATGCAAAAATATGCAAACATATGCAAAATATGCAAAAATATGCAAAAATATGCAAAATATGCAAAATATATGCAAAATATGCAAAAATATGCAAAATATGCAAAAATATGCAAAAATATGCAAAATATATGCAAAATATGCAAAAATATGCAAACATATGCAAACATATGCAAAATATGCAAAAATATGCAAACATATGCAAAATATGCAAAATATGCAAAAATATGCAAAATATGCAAAAATATGCAAAAATATGCAAAATATATGCAAAATATGCAAAAATATGCAAAATATATGCAAAATATGCAAAACATATGCAAAATATGCAAAACATATGCAAAATATGCAAAATATGCAAAATATGCATAATATGCAAAAATATGCAAAATATATGCAAAATATGCAAAAATATGCAAAATATATGCAAAAATATGCAAAATATGCAAAAATATGCAAAATATGCAAAAATATGCAAAATATGCAAAAATATGCAAAATATGCAAAATATGCAAAATATGCAAAAAATATGCAAAATATGCAAAATATGCAAAAAATATGCAAAATATGCAAAATATGCAAAAATATGCAAAATATATGCACAATATGCAAACATATGCAAAATATGCAAAAATATGCAAAATATGCAAAATGTGCAAAAATATGCAAAATATGCAAACATATGCAAAATATGCAAAAATATGCAAAAATATGCAAAAATATGCAAACATATGCAAAATATGCAAAATATGCAAAAATATGCAAAATATGCAAAAATATGCAAAAATATGCAAAATATATGCAAAATATGCAAAAATATGCAAAATATATGCAAAATATGCAAAACATATGCAAAATATGCAAAACATATGCAAAACATATGCAAAACATATGCAAAACATATGCAAAATATGCAAAAATATGCAAAATATATGCAAAATATGCAAAATATGCAAAAATATGCAAAATATGCAAAAATATGCAAAATATGCAAAAATATGCAAACATATGCAAACATATGCAAAATATGCAAAAATATGCAAACATATGCAAAATATGCAAAATATGCAAAATATGCAAAAATATGCAAAAATATGCAAAATATATGCAAAATATGCAAAAATATGCAAAATATATGCAAAATATGCAAAACATATGCAAAATATGCAAAACATATGCAAAATATGCAAAAATATGCAAAATATATGCAAAATATGCAAAATATGCAAACATATGCAAAATATGCAAAAATATGCAAACATATGCAAAAATATGCAAACATATGCAAAATATGCAAAAATATGCAAACATATGCAAAATATGCAAACATATGCAAACATATGCAAAATATGCAAACATATGCAAAATATGCAAAAATATGCACGGTATGCTAGGTCGCACTATTAAAGATAGAACTTTGAAATTTTGCACATATATTATTATTACTCCTAGGATGTTTGGTATTGGAAATGGGATATATCGGTCCACGTTTTAGTATATCGCCATATAACGGTTAAATATGTTTGCATGTTTTATACATATATTTAGCAAATTTTTCATAATGCCCCAAAAATCTAACAGTTGAACCATGAAACGCATACATACACAATTAGATTTCTATAGGTTAAAAATAAAGAAAGCATACAAATTCGAAAACTACCATGAAAAATTTTTTTTTTTTTTTTTTTTTTTTTTTTTTTTTTTTTTTTTTTTTTGATTAAAATAATTGCATATGTGAAATATGTTGCTCATATTTTGCATATTTTTGCCAATATTTTTCATATTTTTTGCATATTTCTCGCATATCGACCTAGCACACCGTGCATATTTTTTTGCATATTTTGCATATATTTTGCATATTTATTGCATATCGACCTAGCATATTTTGCATATATTTTGCATATTTTGCATATATTTTGCATATATTTTGCATATGTTTGCATATTGTGCATATATTTTGCATATTTTGCATATTTTTGCATATGTTTGCATATTTTGCATATTTTGCATATTTTTGCATATTTTGCATATGTTTGCATATGTTTGCATATTTTGCATATATTTTGCATATATTTTGCATATTTTGCATATATTTTGCATATGTTTGCATATTTTTGCATATTATGCACATTTTTGCATATTTTGCATATTTTTGCATATTTTGCATATGTTTGCATATTGTGCATATATTTTGCATATTTTTGCATATTTTGCATATGTTTGCATATTTCGCATATTTTTTGCATATTTTGCATATTTTTGCATATTTTAGCATATATTTTGCATATTTGGCCTATATTTTGCATATTTTATGCATATATTTTGCATATTTATTGCATATCGACCTAGCATATTTTGCATATTTTTTGCATAATTTGCATATTTTGCATATTTTTTGCATATTTTGCATATTTTTTGCATATTTTGCATATATTTTGCATATTTTGCATATATTTTGCATATTTTGCATATGTTTGCATATTTTTGCATATTATGCATATTTTTGCATATTTTGCATATTTTTGCATATTTTGCATATGTTTGCATATTGTGCATATATTTTGCATATTTTGCATATTTTTTGCATATTTTAGCATATATTTTGCATATTTTTGCATATTTGGCCTATATTTTGCATATTTTATGCATATATTTTGCATATTTATTGCATATCGACCTAGCATATTTTGCATATTTTTTGCATATTTTGCATATTTTGCATATTTTTTGCATATTTTGCATATTTTTTGCATATTTTGCATATATTTTGCATATTTTGCATATATTTTGCATATTTTGCATATGTTTGCATATTTTTGCATATTATGCATATTTTTGCATATTTTGCATAGGTTTGCATATTTTGCATATGTTTGCATACTTTGCATATTTTTTGCATATTTTGCATATTTTTGCATATTTTAGCATATATTTTGCATATTGTTGCATATTTGGCCTATATTTTGCATATTTTATGCATATATTTTGCATATTTATTGCATATCGACCTAGCATATTTTGCATATTTTTTGCATATTTTGCATATATTTTGCATATTTTGCATATTTTTTGCATATTTTGCATATATTTTGCATATTTTGCATATTTTTTGCATATTTTGCATATTTTTTGCATATTTTGCATATTTTT